CAGAAGGTGGCCCAAAAGCCCTTTCCTCTGGGCTGGGGGCAGCGGGAGGGATGGTGGCCAGGAAGCCCCTTCCTCTGGACCAGGAGCAGTGGGACAATGGCTCAGAAGCCCCTACCTCTGGGTGGGGAGCAGCAGGACTCAGTACCTTGGTCTGGTGGTCTGGTGTCCTCTGTGTCTTTGTAGTGTGGAATCAGGTGGCTGCCTGTCTGCAGCGGGGTGATTCGACGTCCTCCGTGCAACCCCGGACCTCGGTAGGGCATGCACAGACCTTCCTGTGTGCAGCGGGCTGATTCGTCATATTCCGTGGGACTGGGGACCTCAGTAGGGTGTGGGCAGACCTGTCTGTCTGCAGTGGGGTGATTCGGCATGTTCTGTGCAACTCAGGACCTCGGTAGGGCATCAAAAACTTTGTTTTTAAAGGATTTTATTTTCACCTCTTCCTTGGGTAATTAGAAAACTATCTTGGAGACAAAAGTGTTGATATAATTAACATGATTGACTTTGTGAGCAAGACATGAAAGCCCAGAGTATATTTGTCAGCACTAGGTAAGTGGATTTTAACTTTGTCCTTCTAGTCTTGCCTTCTGGAATTGACGGGGTGCACTACCTGCCCATTTACTACGCTGGAAATCATTGCCTGCAAGATGGACCCATGGTCCCTAGGGCGACTTGGGAAGGCTTTGCAGTTCAGCAGATTGCTTTTTCTTATCCTCGATTATTGCAGGTAAGGCTGGAATTCAGAGTTCTGGCAGCCAGGGCTCTTTGTTGGCTGGGGGAGATCATGATGGGGGAGGCCAATGTTCAGGTTCTTTGTGACTGTCAGGGCTGAACAAGGACCCTCTAAGCCCTCTTTAGAGTTGGCATCTCTTAGTTAATATTAGGCTTTTCAGAAAGACTCATTGATTCTTTCAATACATATTTGTTGAAAGCTAATTTAAACAAGACACTGTTTGTTGCTAATGGCAATATGGCTGCCCAAGGGAGTCTTTAGAGCAGTAGAGGAAAAGAGACAATCTCTTAATTAGACATAATGCAACGTAGTCTGAATATCACAAAAGATGTCCATATACATGTTCTGTGGTGCTTTAGATGAAACTATGGCTCCCTAGGTGGTGGGCTGGTCTTCACCAGGAGTGGAGTGGGGAGAAGGGTGGGCACTAGGGAGGAGCAGAGTGAGTCCTTCAAGGAGCTGGGGCACTAAGCATATTAGGGGAGGAACTGGGGGTGAGAATAATGATAATAATTAATAATGCCAATAAATGGTTAAGTTTGCTGTGTGCTAAGCATTCTGCTTGGATGAGCTAATTTATTCTCCTGACAACCTCGTGAAATATATCTGCCATTTCTATCCCTAGACACCTGATGAGGGAAAACTTGTTCAAGGCCACTCAGATCCTAGTGATGGAGCCTTGATGTGAATCCAGATTGCCTGAGTCACAGCTTGACTCTGATTCATGACACTAGATTTCCTGGGGGCTCTAATTTACCACTCACAAATAATTTCAAACTGGTTTTAAGAACTGAAGTAAATCAACCACTCCCAGCCTAGAGGCAGCTTCTGGGCCACTGTACCACTGCTCCCAGTGCAGAGGAGACTTCCGGGCCACTGTACTACCGCTCCCAGCACAGAGGGGGCTTTTGGGCCACCTTACCACCACTCCCAGCACAGAGGAGGTTTCCAGGCCACTGTAGCACTGCTCCCACCACGGAGGAGGTGAGCCAGGTGGGCACCAGCAGCACACACACACACACGCACACACACACACACACACACACACCACCCCATCCTGTTGAAATGAGAAGACATGTAAACAAATCTGAAAACCAGACTTCCAGATTGCCTCCAGCAACTCCAAAGGAAAAAGAGATAGAACACTAATAATCAACCACCTGGACTCTCTGAATTGGCAACAAAAGAGGATCTGGATCAGAAATAATTTCTCAGATTACAGCAGAGATTGTGCTCCTAGTTCAAGACATGATTAATAAATCTAGAGAGGAGCTGAGGAACATGATGGAATCCCAACATAGGA